TTTCCATACTTAATTTCTGTAAATTTGATCCTTTACTACAATTTTGGAACTCTTCTTCATTTAATCATTCTGGGATAGCTTTAATGCCACTTCACTTGGTTGGAGTATATTGTTATAAGCATTAGTATTGTCCTAGGAAATGAATTTGGTCAAGCAAATTAAATGTAGGAATTATCAAAGATCACATTTCCATATTTAATTTCTGTAACTTTGATTCTTTACACTAATTTTGAAGCTGTCCTTGATTTCATTATTCCGGGATGAAATTTTTATCTTCAATACCACTTCACTTGGTTGGAGTATATTGTTATAAGCATTAGTATTGTCCTAGGAAATGAATTTGGTCAAGCAAATTAAATGTAGGAATTATCAAAGATCACATTTTCATATTAATTTCTGTAAATGAATTTGGTCAAGCAAATTAAAAGTAGGAATTATCAAAGATCACATATCCATATTTAATTTCTGTAAATTTGATCCTTTACTACAATTTTGGAACTCTTCTTCATTTAATCTTTCCGGGATAAAACTTTAGCTTTAATGCCACTTCACTTGGTTGGAATATATTATTATAAGCATTAGTATTGTCCAAGGAAATGAAATTGGTAAAACAAATTAAATGTAGGAATTATCAAAATCACATATCCATACTTAATTTCTGTAAATGAATTTGGTAAAACAACTTATATGTAGGCATTATCAAAGATCACATTTCCATATTTAATTTCTGTTAATATGGTCCTTATCTGAAATTGTGATTTCATTATTCCGGGATGAATCTTTAGCATCAATATCACTTCACTTAGTTGGAGTATATTGTTTTTTTTTATAATTTTTTTTTTTAATATTGCCTTAGGTCACATTTTCCTATTTAATTCTTGTAAATTTGATTCTTTACTCCAATTTTCATGCTCTTTTCGATTTAATCTTCCCGGTATGAAATTTTAGCTTCAATGATACTTTACTAGTTGGAGTATATTGTTATAAGCATTAGTATTGTCCTAGGAAATGAAATTGTTAAAGCAAATTAAATGTAGGAATTATCAAAGGTCATATTTCCATATTTAATTTCTGTAAATATGATCCTTTAATGAAATTGTGAAGCTCTCCTCGATTTCATTATTCCGAAATAAAACTTTAGCTTCAGTCACACTTTACTTAGTTGGAGTGTATTGTTTTAGGGTTTAATATTTCGGAGTAGGATTTAATTAGGATTTATAAAAGGACACATTACTTAATTTAATTGCAATTTTTTGTAAATTTGTTTATTTACTTTTGGGTAATATAGATCACATTACTTAATTTAATTTGAACTTCTTTGAATGTTTTTTTTTTTTCGCCCTTACTCCAGGGTATTTCCCTATCGAAACCTGCATTGACATTGAACTCACTGCTACTTGGCTTTTAACTCCTGCTGGCTACTTAGTTGCTCAGGCAGTTTGGCTGCTGCTTTATTGGCTGCGATTTAGTTGCGTTATGGCCAAATGATTGAGTGGCCCAAGAGAGAGAGAGAGGGAGAGAGAGTGGCGCTAATGCGGAGCACTCGACAATGGCAGCAACGTGAGCCATAATCATTAGCCAGCTGGCACTGAGTTATCCACCTCCCCCCCTTCCCCCTCTCTGTTTTTTTTTTGCTTGAACCTTTTAACCTTTTTTAAATGCAACCAACTGGCAGGCGATATTTTTGCATTTATTTTGCATATCCTTCGAGCAGAGTTTTTAGTGCCGCCATGTGAATGAATATCCTACAAATCCGAGGTCCTGCAAACTGTGACTGAAACAAAGTCGCAGACAAAAGCGACAAGGAATAGCATCAGCGAAAGGTAAGCTGATTATGTAACACACACGGGACGATGTCTCTGTGTGTGTGTGTGTGTGTGGGGTGTCCTGGGGGTGTCTCTCAGTGTGTGTGTGCATGGCAGATAGCATTAACAATCGGCGCACGCTGACGCCATTTTGTTTCGCAACTTTTCAACAGCTCTTTCTCGATTGTTTTTATTAGTGATTTCCGTTGAAAACAAGCCAAAAAAAATAAAAAAATATATGCGCATTAGATAAATTTCAAACACAGCACCTGCCGACGCTTCGCTTTCGTGGCGAAAAGGAAGAATTTTCAAACTAAAAACTTTTTCTGTGGGGTGGAATATGTGTTGAAAATGCACCTGCAGCTATCCACAGACTTATTCGCACATTGCACATAGCCGGAGTTACACTGGGGAAAGTGGAAATAATATTACAAGAAATTTAAGCGACAATATTTTATTGAAGAAGACTCAAGCGGTGTCTTTCAAGAATCTTAACCTGGGTTTTCATATAATTCAAGACAAAATATACAAATTATGTGATAATAAAACATATTTCTCCTTCGTAGTGCACACTGAGATATTATACACATATTAGTTACAGTTTCAAGATTAAGATTAAGATTATAAGAACTTAATTTATGATAAGAATAAACAAGAATGGAAGCTAATATTGGGAACCCGAAATATCTTTTCCTTAGCAATGAAAATTGATCATAACAAAGCCAAAAATCCATTAAATTCTAATTAGAAAGCGTTGCTATGCTAATTATTATTAGGTTAACCAATCTGCATATTAAATTTTAAATTAAAAAAATTACATTTTTCTTTCAATTTAAAAAAATGTTAACGATGTAACCCCTTATAAAACTTGGACATGGCTAGATCGACTCGGCTATTCATGCTGATCAAGAATATATATAAGATTTAGGGTCGAAAATGACTTCTTTACATCGTCACAAGATCCTGACTAAAATTATAATACCCTGCTGGGGTATAAAAACTGTTTCATGATTTCATTATGTTTTATATTTATGATTCTATTTTTTATTTCTATTAGTCTTTTGTATGTTTGCTTAAGAAATACAAATTAAAGTTCGAATACTTGAAAATAAAAAGCAATTGGAGCACATAAATTACATCAAAGTAATTTTACCAATGAATAAGGATTGCTCAATAGCATAAAAAAATAGTTGGCTATAAGGAAAATTAAAAAAAAAAAAAAACAATTTTTTATCCAAATAAAATATAAAATATTATAATATTAAAATAAATAAAATAAATAATAAATAAATATTAAAATATTATAATATTAATAAAATCTTGAATTTATACCTAAGCTGCACAAGGATCATGTCAAAATAAGAAAGACATTATCAAAAGGTTTAGGTATAAATATACATGTATTAATTAAAATAATATTAGCTTAAACATTTAGAAAATTTATATAATTAAACTATATGATATTACACTTAGTATGTAACCATTATTAACAGGATATTTTCATTATCTAAATGCTCAAAAATCTGGAGAGCGTTTATAGGAAAACGATAAGTAATTCTTAAATATAATTATATTACTGTACAATTTCCCAATGAATTTTGGTATATAAAGTATTCTAGAAAGAATTTAATTTACTAAAAGAATGATTAGACATTCAAGTTGTTATCCCCACTAGATTCCGTTCAGTGCTTGATTCCTTTCAGTTAAATTTTAATATATTGAAAAGCCACCAAATTGATGACCGATTTTCAAGGATATTTTTCCTCAAGTGCAACTTGACCGCAATTGGGCCACACATGATTATACATGGAAATTTTGCGATGATCTCCAAGAGAGAGGGGGTGCCTCCTCGCATTTCAATGATGCCCACCCAGATAAAGGCTATCGGCCAAGCCCAGCAAGGAGCTGAAAACAAAGGATCCAAAATGAGGGGAACACACTCGTCGAACTGGAATTGCCCAACTTGGCTGGCTGGCTGGCATGTGAGAGAGCCCTGGCTGGCATGACATTTGAATAATGCACGTACCAAGTGGATGGGCGGACAAAAGCAGGCACAGGAACTGCCTTCAGTGCGGGGACAAGGGCGGCACAGACCACCAATTCATTATCGATTGAATCGATGTGCAATGAGAATTGAAAACTGATGGAAATTTCCTCGCAGAAAAAAACAAGAAATAAAGGAGATAATGGTAGGCAACAAACAATGGAGCTGGAGATTCGATAAAGCCACCGAGTCGAAAAGGGAATTCAATAAAAACGAGTAAAGCATTAAAGACCAGCTGCAAGGAGTTGGTGTGTGTCCCTGAATCGATGGCCAGGACTACATATTTACTTGCAGGACAAATGTAATTGTCAGCTGGTGTGCCACAGTCAGTGCTAATGCCCCCCTGCTCCTCCCCTTCCATTAGCAGTCAATGCCAGCCCCCGGCGGCTCTGTCAACAGCTCAACATATCAATCATACGCAATGTGGTGCGTGCTTGGTGCGTGAGCTAATGCCTCAAATGCGGTGCACAGTGGCAGCACATTCATACATACATGCGACGCCTGCTGGTCTTATAAATAATTTAGACCGCATATTACTCCAAAAAAGAAAACAACAGCACCCCGCCCTTGACACGTCCCCTACCGCACACCCTCCCACACACACACACACACACCAGAAACTGTCATTAGTGAATTATTTAAATTACGCTGACGCCAGGAAAGCAAATATCGCCAGCCAGGAAGGAAGTTCCTGCTGGCAGAGTTTTGTTAAATTAACTTACTGGCCAAAAAAAAATGGAAGGAATGTACATATAAAACGAAAATCGTTCTAAATTCAGCGAATATGCAAATAAATTCCCCCCGTCCACTGGTTTGCGAGAAGCACTAATATTTTGTAAATCCCTGACATTTCAAATTCAGACAGCACGTTTTATACAAATTCGTTTAATTAGAAATGAAATTAGGAAGGCAGGCAGAACTTTTAAATGGTAACTGAGGGGTAAAGGTAAAGTTAATAAGTTATTCATATGTTAATAAGAATCTTAATTCATAATAGAATTAAGTATAATTAGATGTGAAGCCAGGAAATGGTTTTACAGATCCAAAACGGAAGTTGCCTTAGAACTTAGACTTCCTGTCTCGAATCTTGTTGCCACTTTTACCCAATCCTTATTTAGATTCATTAATTACTCTCCTAATTAATCACTCACCTGAGATTTTCGATGCGCGGCCTTCGGCATTGAGGCCTATTCCTTCGATGGCTGCGATCCTTCTTGCAGCGGCAGTCACAGTGCATAATGCACAGGGCAATGGACGAGATGACGGTTATCACAAAGGGCACCGCAAAGAAGTGAATGATCATGGCCACCTGGTTGTCATGGTTGTAGGACGTTAGGACCACTGTCTTATTTTTGCGCGAATAAAAACACGGAAAGATGGCGCCCTCGATGCCATAGTAGCCATTGAAATCCTTGCATGTCACCGTGGGCGGATAACCGCATCCCTTGATGTTAACCAGGAGCGTGGCCTCACCGGATTGCTCCCAGTCCGCCGTATAGTTGCTATAATCGGTCATATTGGCCGGTATCGTGATATTCTGCTCAATGAACGTCACGTAGATGTGAACGCAGCGATATAGGTCCGAGGTGCAGCCCTCGCGACAGGAGCTCCACGAGCAATTAAATATACCAACGAGATCCTCCCGACGCGTTGTCGTGCACAGCGTTGGATTCTCAATAAAATCGTGGCTTAGCGTCGATATGGCCGGATCAACGTAGAGCGGTACAAGGAAGAGCAGCGAGGCGCCGGCGGTCACCGAGAAGAAGGCCAGTGTCGAGGTGCCATAGAAACGCGCACGTTCCCGCCACGAACGAAAGCGCCGATTGCCATTTTTCTTTTTTGGAGCCAGTTCTCGGATTTTACGTAACCGTAGCTCTTGTTGTTGCTGCTCGAGTAGTAATTCCGAACTGCCACTCCTCATATTATTGTCGGTGCACACAGGGCGCTGATGTTGCTGATTGTTGCTGCTGCCTCCGCCGCTGCTGCTGCTGGCGTTGCTGCTGCTGCTGCTGTTGATGTTGCTGCTGTTGCTGCTGCTGTTGCTGTTGTTGCTCCTTGTGCTGCTGCTGCTGCTGCTGTTGTTGTTGTTGCTGTGGTTGTTGCTGCTGCTGCTGTCGTCGTCGTCGCTTGCTGCGCAGCAGCAGCTGCAACGGCATCAACGCTGCTCCGTTGCCTCTCTGCTGCCGCTGCTCCTTGGCCTCTTGCTCCTCCTGCTCCTGGCGTTGCACTTGGCTTCCGTTTCTCTCGCCTACCGCAACATCCAGAGAGACGATTGAGGTTATGTACACACGCGTCGGCGCAGTTTAAAGAAGCGAGAGAGTTAGGTTTTTGGAAACAGCTGTTCCGCAGGAAACAGACACAGAGAGAAAGAGATAGTAAGTGATAGAGAGAGAGAGTGAGAGAGAGCGACAGGCAGGTTAGAGAGATGGAGAGACAGAGACAGACATGAAGAAAGTCAGAAGGCGACAGTCAGAGAAAAGCGCGCTCGGGCTTTTTCATGAGTTCTTTTCCTATTGTTTACGCCACTCGCTAGTTTGCACACACATTAGTTTTTAAAACACTAAAAATAAGACAAACAGCAATTAATTATTATATAATTTTGTTATTTAAAGTTTTTATTAAGTTATGGGGTTTGTTCTCTTTATTTTGCATTTTAGTTTTCACATTTTGCGGCTTGCGTGGGCGGCACTCTTTTTCTTCTCAAAGTCACAGCTGTTGATGTAGGTTAGTTTAAAGTGGGAGAGCACTTGGAGAGCTTAGCTTGGCAGAGAGAGTTCTCAGACAGAGAGGGAGAGAAAGAGTTCTCAGAGAGAAACTGAGCTTCTCTGCCAGCTTTGAAGCCAACGCCGGCGTTCGCCTGTCTGCTGATGGTGTCGCCCTAGTGACTGTGTAACCTTTTTGTGGGCGGAATTATTTATGCTACACATTTTGTGCGACGGCGGCTTTTCCCATTTTCCTAGCTGCTGCCAGTGTGTGCCATGGCATTTTGCTTATTATTTTTCAATCTATTTGCATTTCATTTGCAGTCCCTGATTTATGTGGCAGATCTCTCTCGCTCTGTGCGATCTAACGAGTTTTCAGCGACATCCTTGGTTCACCTTGGCAGTGTTCACAAAAAATGGTTACTCCATCTACTGTTGTTGTTGCAACTTCGCGTGACTCTGGACTTTCGGCCAGGTTCGGACATTAGCGACCCCCCCCCTCTTTTTGCCCCGTTTTTATTGCTGCTGCTCTGTTTCATTTCATTTCATTTTCATTTATTTTCCTGCCTTTTGTTTTTTTTTTTTTTTGCCATGGCACGCATTTCACAATTTTCATCACACATACTCGGACCCACTGACAGTTGGTAGGTGAGCTTAACGTTTATTGCTTCCCAGTGTAGTTTTGGTATGATTTCATTTTCATGCTTCGCTCGCGGCAACGCGGCGTATGAGTAATGCACACAAAGCAAATGACCAACACATAGACCACACATAGATTATTGTGAGCAAAATTATCCATGCGACTCGCGAGTTGACATTTGAACCGTAAATTGTGGTAGAATTTCCCCCTGGAAAACCATCTAGCATCAGCAGACCAGGCGAACGCGCTCGGGGAAAACTCCTTGAGCGGTTGTCATTCCCATAAGAATTAAGTCTCAGGTACACAGAAGAAAAAATAGATGGGCAGGAAATATTTTATAATTGAAAATTACAAAATTAACTAGTTAAGACTTGGGAAATCTTATAGAAAGGGGTTTTAAAATCAAATAAAAGGAAATTAATCGGGAATGTTAAAGAAATGTCTACAGGCTTCAGATGGTGCATAAAAGTATGCTATGAAAATTTTAGACAATGTCGGTTCTAATAAAGTTGCAAATTCTGTTTAAGTTCTTTGTTTAAAACAATTTTTGGCTCATTATTAATGGTTTTAAAAATCCATAAAGTTTCTGATATGAAATTTTTTATAATTTCTTTATTGAATGTAAAACTGTGGGGCTTTTTCAAAGTTTGGTGTCTTAAATTGATAAAAAAATATTTTATGTCAAAATTAAACCCATATTTTGAGTTTCATATTTATATAAACTAAAGAAAATAATTTATTATTTTAATAATAATAGGGAAAATATTTAAAAATTTGGTGTTTTTCCACAATAAATAAATCTAAAAAACCGCATTCCTAGTGAAATGTGTACGTAATTCCTAGATACAACGAAATCTCACACAGAGACAGGAAATTCTAGATGTCGCAGGATTCAACGGTAGTATTTCTGAAGCCTTTGAAAGAAATAAACTCGAACTATTTATCTATCTATCTAACTATTCACCTATTAACCTATCTATCTGTGTATTTGTCTATATACCTACCTATTTATTTACATATCTATCTATCTAATTATCAGTGTATCTATCTCTTAAAGTAGAATAATGCAATATATTTATAAGTTTAATTTACTTTTTAGTGTTTTAATTGTATTAAAATTATTTTGCTTCACATTCTAAATCTATATTATTTTCCTCTTTACTTTCCTCAACTCTTCCCATAGTCTTGAAATAAAAATATAATGCTGCATTTAGTATACAATTTATTCTATGTGCAAAGGAAGGCCGCCCACGCCACGCCTTCGTTGGAGAGAGAAAGCAACGAAATCGCGGAGGACGCAACGCGGAGCTCTGTGGGTGGAAAAGGAAGGAAAATGGCAACTAAAAACTAGAGTGGAAATAGAAATATATATATATATATATATATGTATATAAATGAACATGAAAATAAAACATTAAGCTCGGGAGTCCGACTAACTTTTGACAGGTTGAAATGGCAGACCGCTCTACACTCTCCGTGCTTCCCCCGACTAAGCCAAACTTTTGTTGATTTTGTTGCTAACGCTGATTGTTGTTGCCGCTCTGTTGCTTATTGTTTTTGTTTTCCCCCCTTTTTTTAGATGATTTTTTCCCTTTTTCCTGATATTCTTATTCTTGGTAAAAGGTAGAGAGAAAAATAAGAAACAGGGGAATGGGTATTTTAGGTTTAACTTTCACTTGATTTGATATATACTTTGCACTTGAATTTTCTTTAATTTTTTTTGCGGGCCAGACTTTCTTCGTAGCTTTAGCTTGACGGCGATTACGGCACGGTATTTGTTGTTGCCAGAGTATAGGAATTGGCTAACACGGCGGCAGCCATTGGCTCACGCACACACACACACGCTCCTCACGTTCACGTTCACGTTCACGCACAAGTCGGCGGACAGACAGACAGACAGAATCACACAGACACGAGAAGCGCGCGCGCTTGGCCCTGACGTGCCTCTCGGAGTGTTTGTCCAAAACTGACGACTACGACGACGACGACTCCAGGACTGTGGACCCGGACTCGGGAGTCCTGCGCCCCGTACTTCGTCCTGTGCCTATCCCCCCTTCCGCCTGCTTCACTTCGCTTCCCCCTTTAAGCCGCCATGGCGGGGGCGGCGGAGCCATGGCAGTGCGTTGACGTTGACGTTCTACGTTGACAGCGCTGCCAGCGAAGTAACGAGCGTCAAGGATTCGTTTGTGCGCGCGTCTCCACTCTCTCTCTCTCTCTCTCTCTCTCTCTCTCGTCTGCTTTAAGGATAATACTGCTCTCCACAGAGAGAGCGTGAGAGGAGGCGGCAGCCTGTGTTGGCACAACAAATCTTGCACTGCTTGCTTTGGCCGATTTACCAGGGCTCGTATTACGTATAACAAACGCTGCTTGTTAGTTACTTTTAACTTGATATTCTAAAATTTAAGTAACAAATATTAATTATCACTGTAATTAATTTATATTTATAGTTATTAAACAAATTAAAAAAATAAATAGTAATCTTCTTTAAAAGGATTTTTAAGTGCAGGGTATGAAACATCTAGTCAAAAGCTTATAAAGCCGTGAATCAGTCATTTTCGACCCTGTAAATCATATATATTCTTCATTAGCATCGGTTAGATCGAATCGGCTATAATCGTTTCCGGTCGGGAAATATATTTCCGAAATTTGGTTAAAAATTTATAAGGGGTTACATCGATAAAAGTTCGATAAGTTGCCAAAAATTTGATCTTTTTTCAATTTTAAATAGAGTATTCTGATTTATTAACCCAATCAAAACTAACATAGAAAAGCTTTCTGAACTTAAATTAATGCCCTGGCTAAGTTATGAGTTTTTTAAACTATAATTTGTTGAAAAAAAAAATGCCATACAAAAATGTTAATAAATATCGATTGAAGAATGCGAACATTATGAGCTTAGTTATGATTGATTTCCAATACGATCCTATAATTTGATTGCAAGCTGCTTTTCGGCTTTTTGAAGTAAGTTTCCTTTCTTGTTTATTATTTAAGTTTTACGAGTAAGATTATGTAAAATTCAGTTTACTTAAAAAAAAGTATATTTTCATTTAGGTATGAAATAGATATATATATTAATTTAAGATCAAAATAAAAATTTTAAAGGGATCAGTCAATGATCAAGTATACGTATCAAGTATTTACATTAAGTACATATATGCATCAAGTATACGCATCAAGTATATGTATTAAGTATACGCATCAAGTATACGCATCAAGTATACGTATTAAGTTTACGATCAAGTATACGCATCAAGTATACGTACTGTTGGTCGGAAAAAAATTTATAAAAGTATATTTTTGTAAGATAACTCAGAAAAAAGTTAACAAAATGGTTAAACTTAAACTTAAACTTAGCTCAAACTTAATTTAAAAAAAAAAATTTATTTATACCTATTTATTAGACCAGTTTAAGTCAAAAAGCTTTTAGCTAATACATTAACCACTAAAGAAAGCTTGAGTACCCAGCTCAGTTTCAGTGATGCTCCTTGCAAATAAATATATATTTATAATTTTATTTTTAAAATCTTAAACTTTATCTTTACTTTACTTAAGCAGATTGATTAGGAACACAAGTTAACTAGGAGCTAATGAAATTTAAATTTTATGATAATGTATTTTGAGAAACCATTATTTTTTTTTATTTAAATAAGTAGTTATACAATAAAAACTAATTATATTTATTGAATAAATTACTAATTATATTTATTTAATTGTCAGAATATTAATATTAATCAGAATTTATTTTACTTTTTCTGATGAAACAAAAAAATGCATAAATGAGCAACATAAATCGATTTTTTTTTTTATTAAAAATATCAATAATTGATCTCGATAACAAGTTAATTTATATTTTTTATAAATGTATATTCGCTTTTAATATTAAATTTCAACTAATTATCCAAATCACATACTTGAAAAGTACGCTTTATTAATAAAAAAAAATGTTAAATATTTCCTTCAGACGAAATATGCAGTCTTAGAAAAAACAGTGACTTTGGTATATAAAAAGTATATCGATAAAACGATCAATATTCTATAATTTTATTCGCTGTCCGCCCATCTCCAATTAATAAATTTTCTTTATTAGCGAAACATTTTATATTAACAAAACAAAACAATATTGATTGTTCATAAAATATATACATCATAATAAATAAATAAAGCTGATAACAAGTTATTGTGCAGAAAAATGGAAGCAGTAAGCGAAAATCTACTACATATGTATATACTAAATGCAAATCTACAAGTCATCCTTATTATATACATATATAAAGAATATTTTGTAAATTGGTATTCACTCTTGAAATATCAGTGTTTTCCAGATGTTTCCAAAGGTTTCCTTATGAGTTGAATCTTTATTCCAGGCAAGTTCCGAGAGTAATTATTTTCATTGCTGATATGCCGCTTCTGAGTTGGACTGATCAGTTTAGATTAGGTTAGGTTGAACCGAACGGCTCTTATGGAGATTTAGCTGCAGCCCCCTGAGGGACATGGGTACCGGGCTCAACTTCACCTCAGAGACCTCTCTCCTCATCCAGACCGAGGCCCTTCCCTACCTCGCCTGTCTTCAGGGTGTGCACGTCATGTTTTCCGCCTCCTTACTTATCTGGAGGACTACGCATTGGCAATACATATTGCATTGCAAATGACACTTTTGTTTTTCACTTCTAATTATGTTACATAAACGCCTGAAAGACACATAGAAACCATAAAAGAAATTCACTATCCACATTAAATGTGTTCTATTCATTTTTATATTAAAAAATTAATATGAATACATTTTGTTTATTTTATAAATATAATTAATTTAATCATAATATAAATTTTAATACTTTTTTGATTGGTTTCACTAAATTTAAATAAAAAAATTAAAAATGTTAAAGGTTATGACAAAAATTGAATGAGCTCTTCATCTGTTTTTAATTTGGAAAGATTTAAAAAACAAAATATGAAATAAAGACATGCCATATTCTTTTTTAAATAAATAAAGTAACTTACAAGAATTTTGCATTAATAAGAATTAATAATATTAAGACGGAAATTATAAAAATAACAATATATGCATAGCTGTATTTAATTAGCGTTGTTTTCCCTTTTGCATCGGTCTGGAAAATTTTTAACTATAATACATAATTATATGTTTGGCTTACAAGTCAAAAGTAGCTAATAAATCTTTAGTTTTTTATATGAAATTACTGCTATTTCCATACTTAAGCGGAGTTTAATCTAAGAGCACTGATATTTTTCTCCTGACGTCAGGTTGACCTGCAACTTTTTAATGTATATATCCATATTATAAAGCATTTATTAAGGATCTACTAGAAACTTAATTTGGGTACCTATTTTTGATAATAACTGATAAAAGTAGCCTTTAAAGTTAGTGAGTAAATCGCATAGAAACAAATATAATTTAGATGTATACATTTATATAGTCTCGAAAAGCTTATATATCCCCAGTGAATTTAATTATGTGGATCCGCCTTTTTCAATCCAATTTATACACTCATCTTAAAAGCGATCGATTTAGAACATTAACTAAATTGCAATTAAACAGAATATTTTGAAATTAACTTAGCGTTTTTAAGAATGAAAAATAATTTGAATACTTTTTTCCTTTGGATACGTATTTACCTAGGAATTTATTAATTATTTATTCTCTTATGAAGCGAACTGAAAATAAAATTAATTACTTGACTATAGTAACTTATGTAAAAAATAATACTTACAATTACTAGCTGGAAGTCCATAGGTATTTACTCTTCAGATATCAGTTTTTCAGATGTTTTCAAAGGTTTCCTTATAAGTTGAATTTTTATTCGAGGCAAGTTCCGAGAGTAACTATTGTCATCGGTGCTGTTTTGCTTCTGAGTTGAACTTATTTGCTGCAAATCCGCAATCTTTAACGCTTCCATCCAAAGTACTAAGAAACAGAAATATATAAGTATTTATTATCAGCATACTCTTGTTTTTTTATTAAGAATTTAAAAGACCTATGTATAAGTGCATTTATAAACACTTATCGCTTGAGGGGAGAGTTGTCCTTTGAATTTCGCTTCTTGGGTTCAAAAATTTGTCATTTCTTATCTCATTAAAATATTTAAGTAAATAAATAATATATGTACCATTACTGTTTACCAGCACAACTTGATCGATTATTCGTCATAGGCTTAATTTATAAATTAATTATTATAATAAGATGAAATTTATAAAAAGTTGTTTTACCTTTTTTGTGTCACTATATAAGATTATTTTTTTTTTTAGACATTAGCTTCTGATTTCCAGTTGGTTACAGTTTAAGACTGGCCACTTAGGCACTCTGAAAACTAACTTAACCCTAACCAATGATGATTTGAAATGCAGTCAACAGCCCCCATAGTATTATAGTTAACACCCCCTCATATAGTTCAGAAGATAATTCAATTGATAATGCTTCTATAAATTTTCTGACTGAGATAGGAAGTTGATACTACAGCATGTTAGATTATTTACCGATTGTAAAATTTGAACCTAATAAAACCTAATAAAAATTGATAAAAAATATTCGAAGAATAATAATTTCTTTGTGGGAACAAACTTGGATATACAAACATATATCTGTTTTGATTAAAATGTAACTATCATTTCCGATTTTTAATTATTTTATTTTAACTAAAGATTGATTTGTGAACTGTGTGGTCAATTCGTTTACAAGTTACTACTGCATACATATTGATATTTACTTTTCAATTAATTCTAATTTTTTCGTAATTCTTTACAGATACTAGCTAGTTTGTGTATCTTAGTTATGCAAATAACTATGTCGATCTGCTACCCTTTAATAAGACACTGTGGCTGCGTGATTGGAACTGAAAAAATAAATCAATTTTTGAGAATCGATTGTTCAAATAACGACAAGTTGGCTTTCGATTTCGATTGTTTGGCTAATCAGCGGCCAGAATCCTTGGATCTGTCTGGCAACGAGTTGCAGGAAGTGCCGGAAGAACTGAGTTTGAATGGATTCCAGGACCTCAAGCACCTCGATCTGTCGCGAAACAAAATCAGCAGTCTGGTTAGCTATAATTTTGGCGCTTGGACTCGTTTGACTAGTTTGAATATTAGCCACAATTTGCTCACCGATCTGCCAAAGGAGAAGCCACCGATTAGCACAATCGATGTGAGCTATAATCAGCTTACGAATATGTACAGCATCTATAGCCTGACTTACATCAATGCAGTTGTCCTGGGAAATCACATTCTGTGTAAATGCAACTCGAGTCTGGTTCAGAGAATGTACAGCCAGGTATTTTTAGGATTTTTCTTACTTCTTATAACTTATAAAATTATATACTATGAACATAATTATATATATTATTATATATCATAAAAGAATAACGTACTTATATCCTCGGCAGAAAACTTCTGAACGCGTTGCAGTCATCGAGTGTTCTTTGAATGACAAGGATCTGCCAAAACCTATATCATCTCAGTGCCACTATGATATCGATAAAGTTGAAAGTCCGTCACTTTCTAAATATGATATTGCAGGCATTATTATTTTAATTATAATTATAATTATAATAATTAACAATTATAATAATTAACAATTATTATAATAATTAAAATTTATAGTTACTATAAATATAATTCTAATAATTATACAATGATTTCATACTCGTAACTTTTATCTAATTTAAGTATTTTCTACTGTCGTATGGGCGAAGTTTTATATTTCTTTTTTATTATTTTAATTTTTTATTTAAGTGCAATTTTAATTATTTTAGACATTTAGAACTACATAAATCATCAAAGACCGGCAACTATAATACTTACGGGTAAATGAAGAAATCATTTCCGACCCTATAAATCATATATACTCTTGATCAGCATCAAAAGCCGAGTCAATCTAATAATTTTATTAGTTTACTAATTTATTAATTTTGTATATAATTTTCAATTCAGTATGCAGATTTGTTAACCTAATGAAAACTAACATTGGAAAGCTTTCCAAGTTAAAATTAATGCTTTTTGGCTTGGTAATGACTTTTTAAAATTTTATATTTTATATCCAAAAAAAAGATAATTATTTTAATGATGATTTTTTATTCTCCATTCATTTTGAATCAACCACATTCAACACAATTTATATTTTCAATACATACACATTAAACAAAATATAATTATAGTTTTAATTTTTTGCCTGCATATTATACGAATAAAGTTTGAAAAAAAAACTTAATTTTATGGGTTTTATTTATTATTCCTTTTCATTTCAGCACCAAAAAATCCTTATATTTTGGACATAAGCTAAATATATAATTTTTATTGCAATTATTTATGTTCTGAATACATTTTAAACGAGCTATAAACTTGTATCTATTTTCTTTGTATATACATATTTCATTTAATTTTAAGATTTAAAATGCAAAGCTCTTATTTGATTTCCACATGTAAAATTAAATCATACAAAATGTAAAATGTAAGCAAAACTGCATACTTTGTGGCGTAACATTAATGAGCTCAAAACCTGAACCACCCTGCTGCTGCTGCTGTTTCTGGTGATTTTTCCACAAAGCTTTTCCCAACACGGTGAGCTTTCCCCGCCACTTCTGTGTGTGTGTGTGTGTGTACTGCCCCAGTTTTCATTTCCTCGGAGCAGAGCAGCCCTGACATGCACAACCGTAAGGAAAACTGGGTCAAGCAACAAATAAGTACCTCGCACAGCATTTGCCCTTGGCGGCATGTCCTTGATATTGGTCGCAAAAAAAAAACAAAAAATGTGCTAAGGTTTCTATGCTAACACCTTTTGTGGGCGGTGTCTGCACATCAATCGATCTCACACCCCCACATGCATTTTTAAAAGTAATTAATTGAAGGTTATTGTTGATAAAATAGATATTATTTTGCAATGTTCGATATATTTGCATATACATATGTATGTATAAGTTTTTAGCATTTGAAGTACTGAAGAAAAGCATGGTATCCCTTTTTTAGGAATAATTGTTTATCGGAACGAAAAACATATTTATTATAGTTCTATGCATTTTTTCTATATTTATAGAAATTAATTGTACGTAGATTAAGGAAAATTAAAATGATTTATTTACGAATATATTGTAATTATATTTACTTTTGCAAGCTTAAGTCTTAAATCCTATTGTTTGCTCCAAAAATATTAAAAAACTTTTGGTAAATTCTATTAAACAGGTGTACAGTACAACAAATAAAATATATATACATACACATCCTTTTAGTAGCTAATGATATTTATATATATATTTTTAACAATTTCTTCTTTGTATGCCAATATATGTACATATGTCATATGACATTTCTTCATTTGAATAGGGCCCATAGATAATTATTTTGTTTATTAAATACATAAATTGATTGTGTATATAATAAAACAAATGTTGTTTTTAATTTTATAAATAAAGTTTTTATCATTTGGCTAGCAAGGTAACAGTGCATCTTGCCAAAATATTAAAAAAAGCAATAAACTTAATTTAATCAATTCCCTGAAATTTGTTAGTTTAGTTATTTTTATTGGTGTGAAGCAATTCTGTGTATTTTAGAATATTAGCTTATGAAGTTATAATTTTGAAATTATTAAGAAATGTTTAATTATTATACTTAATAATATAATAATAATATATAATATATAATAATATAATAATATAATATTATACTTAATAAATTTTAAATTTGCAAATAATCAAGAGTTGCCGGACCATATATGGTTTTGAATCTTGAATCTTTGAAACAAGTCTCTAAATGGAACAAGTTATCAACAGTTTCAATACAGATTTAAAGTACAAATAAATTAATTGAGTTAATCAAAGCCATTAAAAATAAATAATACAATATTTTAAAATATAATAAAATAGAATAAAAATAATAAAACAATATTTGTTTATTATATTTACATTCATTTGCATTTTGTTTTAATTTAAAAAGTATTTTAATAATTAGTTCCTTTCTTTGAAGCATTAAATTATTATTATCTTTATCTGTATCTTTATCTATTAATTTCCAATTTCTCGAGGGTATTCTTAATCCAGAACCTTGGCATGCTTTATTATTGATACTTCTTTATATATTTTGTGCCAAGGACAATACTGTGACAGAAGTCCACATCCCTGACACGGATGCTGCTACCGAAAAAAACAAGGAAATATAGTTTTGAAAGTAGGTCGTGGCAAGTGACGTGGCCGGCTGACCCATTTGGGCCATTTAAACCTGCACGGTTGCAGAGCACCACCCAAGGTTGATGGAGTGGAATCTTTAACCTGATTCCTCGACTGGAATTTTGGGTTATATTGCAACTTGGGCCAGGGGGTAGTTTCTGCTGACTTTTGCCAGAGTCAACAGTTTGACTCTGACAGCTGGCTGCAGCTTCTACACATTTTCCTCATTTTCCCCTTTGGAAAACCCAACCCAATTTCATTCGAGGCATTTATTTGTCTATTGCTGCGTATCAGTGTGTGTGTGTGTGTGTTTGCCTAGTGCCCATATTTGTGTATTGTCCAAACAAAGGTCTTGCATCTGAGCAGTCGAACAATGAAAACTGTTGTCTGTTTTTCCGCCAGAATTTATGACCCAATGTCAACAGCAGCACGCACAGCTTCAGCTTCAGCCTGAGCTCTGTTTTCCCTTCTCTCCTCTGGCAGGGAAATTGAATCGTCCAGCGGTGAAATCAGCCTGGAAAAGCCAAGGAAAGTTGTTGCGGCTGTCAGGTGGCCGCTTGACCCCCGTCCATTGGTTTTGGGTTGGCCAGCCTCCAAAACTTCCAACTTCAGCTCAAACTTTGGATCCCAGCTTCATATGCACTGAAAATATTTTCTTGTTGCCATTTAAAGGTTAAAATATAGCATTTATATTTTGTATATATTTTTTGTATAAGGATTAAATATAAAGAAAAGGTAGTATGTATTTATTGATATCAAATATCAAATGAATAGAAAGAAAAGTGTAATACATTTTATTGATAATTAATTTTCATAAAATATATATACAAAATATAAATTTATATATTATTAACAAATATCCTTTATCAATTGATAATAATGTAAGCTTCATAAAATATTTTAGAATATATATTTATTTGAAATAATAATATTTACAGCAGAAGATAATTAACTTTGGCCATTTTGGGGTAAAAATGATAATTTTTAATACATTTTTACTATATTAAGTCTAATATAAAACTTAAATTCTAATTATCTGTACTTTGAGGAAATTCTTACCGATTAGTAAAGTTACAGTTAAGACAACAATGAAAAATTAAAATAAAATATATAATATTTCTGCATAATTTTAAAAAAATACGACATTGAAGACAATTTAATAAAGTTATG